GTAGCTTAAAAAAACAGTTCAAATGAGCCTAAGGGCTTTACTCACACGAGGACTTTTTCCTCAAATCTCTGGGTGTGATTGCAGTCAGATTCATCCTGATCTTGCCAGAATTGCAGTCAGATGCATTCTGGAAAGTGCTAGTTTGAGGATGTCCTAAGTTGACGGCTACCTTCTTCTAAGGTTTGTGAGCCCGCAACTGCGCCTTTTCGAAGTGGCCTGCGGCATTAGCTATTGGCCCGGGCCCGGATCGAAATGCTCTCACTGCATGTACCCGTATACCGGTAAAAGGGCTACTCCGGTTCGTGTGAGCTGGTGGCCACTTCACTAGGCTTGATGACGTCCTGTTGATGACGCTCCTTGCTCACAGATACGTATGCTGCTCGCCCCTTCCAAGCCACTTCTACTTCGGCCCTTACTCAACTCGAACCTGTTCTTCCTCATTTTATTTTATCAGTGCCCACCGGCCTTATTCTTTGCCAGCGCTGCTCCTTCAAGCGGATGCAGTGGGATCCGGCTCTGATACCAGTGCAATGATTTGCAAGACAATCTCCCACAACCTTGCACACACATGCAACGGGCAACCAGATGAGAGTTCACACTTGAAGCCAATAGCCGAAACACCAGAATCGCATGAGAGTTTGTTACGCAATTATATCTTTATTGTACAAGAAAGTGTTCATGTCTCCTGCGGTCTCTGCCGCTTGTACCCACGCAGACTCGACACAGGTATGTGCTCGACTACAGCTCTCTCTCCTCTCTCCTCTTGCCTTGTATTGCTCAACCTTTCTCTCTCTCTCTCTCTCTCTCTCTCTCTCTCTCTCTCTCTCCCCTGCCTTAGATTGTGCCCTGAATACACCCACTCAGATAGCTCCGACTTCCTACTTCGCTACCCTATGGAGTCTCTCCCAGCGCCTTCTTCCACCCCAGGTGCGTCATGCCCAAGTCACCTCAATGCACTAGCAGCAGCGCTTCCACATCTCGTGAACGAGTGTGTTCGCCTGCTGCACTGTAGCAGCTAAATATAGGAATTGGACTTGGCTTGGCCTGCCTCAGACCGGTACCGGTCAGCCGCGGCCTCTGTTCCAATCATTTTGTGGGTCGGGATTTCAAAGGTGCGAAATTGCACGAATGGCTGCCCCACCATGTGGCACAGATTTTTCGTTTTCTTTCTTTT